AACCATAAGCATTGACCTTCCTTGTCAGTCTGACAGCAGTGTGCACATCTTCTGAAAATGTACAGTTGCCCAGTATGAAAGTGTGATATGTGACACGGCACTGATCTGATTTATGGAGTCAGTGTGTTGCATGCTGCTTCTGGAGATCTTAATACAATATATCAGACACTTAATGAACCTGGTGTAAATGCTAGTGTAGTTGAAAAGCCTAAATGCCATACCAGATCTGATCTACACTGTAAAAAAAATATAGAAATATACTGTAAAAAAGATTTGTTATCACAACATTTTTTCTTTTGTCAAATCAGCTTAAAATAATTTATTTAGTTAAGATAACTTATTATTTTGAGTTTCTGATGATTAAATTAATCTCCTTCATTGTATTAACTCACTTTTTCCAGTTCAATCAACCAACTTCAATCAAAATTTTAAGGCAACCAGGTTACTTAATTTTTTAAGTTAAACAACAATATTTTTTAGACTTCTAGTACAAAAAAAAAAAAAAATTCAGAGTGCCAGTCATGTGTCTACTACGTACTTTGCCAATAAAGGGAGCATCATACCTGCAGATCTAGATAATGTTATGGCTAAATAGATATTATGATGTCATGATAAAAAGAACCTTTGATGGGGATATAATGGCTCAAATGGGGTATTCCTAATAAAGCGAGCACATGCCTTTAAACTTACCAGAAATATATAGAAATGATGAGTGTTGAAACGGGAAAATAAGGGCTATTAGTTTAATGGATTTATCTAGAGTGGTTAATAAAAAATAAAAAAACAGGGAAATGTAGGAAAATAGTAATACTGATACATTATTGATTAAAAATCAAATTAAGTGCATTTAACTAAGATTTTAACCAATACATATCTTAAAGCTGTCGTTTACAGTAGTTCTTATATGAAATAACACAACCGTGGTGTGTTTGGAGAGAGTGTTGTTAAAATGGTTTATCTGATCTGAAGTCAGCTGATTTAGTTGGCACAGAAAGGGTTTCAGTTGTGTTTTTGCACCAGCTCTAAATCACTACAACCACTTACTATGCACAGCAGTGCACATGGACGCTTCTCTATACTCAAGATGCTAAAGCTCTTTAGAACATCCACTGGGTTTTAATCAGGTGTATTGTTACTACTGATAGTTGCGGGATTGTGTTAAAATTAAATCTAAAGCAAACATTTCTGCAAAGAAATATTAGTATTTTATTAATTAATTTCCTCAAATACACAGATGCTTCACTCAGCAGAGGTCAAAATCTTTTTTTAATGAGAGAACCAGTTAGAAGGTGTGGTCTAAGATGACCTCACCATTTGCATTTTAATATCATGATGTTAATCCTCACCTTGTATTTGATGGCATATATTTGAGCTTCACTACAGTATGTTAAATCTGCTTTCTATTCTGTGCTTCTCCACTCCTCTATTTAGAAATAAGAGCAGCCCTACAATGAAAACATATAACTTACCCCCAAATCATCTCTCCTGTGCTTTCATTGTCATATTTAACTGATTTACAGTTGACAAGACGTCATTTCACTTTGTCTGAATGTATCATCAAAAATGATCTCTAGTTCCTTTCTCAGAAGTGTCCTCTGTGAGTGTGTGCATCTCCTGAGAGTGACTCCCCCCTAGCATGTGTGTAGAAGTGTTTGTGTGTGTGATTCCCTCTCTGTGGTTGGCCTCTCCGATGGGATGAGCTCATGCTCTTGTGGAGAGAGCAGCAGGATCCTGTGATCCGATGCACCCACACTCTCAGAAAAAAAGGTACAAAAGCTGTCACTGGGGCTGTACCTTTTCAAAAGGTAAACTTTTGTCCATTTTAGGTGCTAATATGTACATTTGAGGTGCTAATATGTACATTTTATGTGATAATATGTACATTTTAGGTGCTAATATGTACATTTTAAGTGTTAATATGTACATTTAGGTGCTAAGTTCATTTTAGGTGCTAATATGTCAATATCATGAGCTAATATGTCAATTTTAGGTGTTAATTTGTACATTTTAGGTGATATGTACATTTTAGGTGCTAATATGTCCATTTCATGAGCTAACATGTAAATTGTAGGTGCTAATATGTCAATTTTAGGTGTTAATATGTACATTTTAGGTGATAATATGTCCATTTTAGGTGCTAATATGTCCATTTCATGAGTTAATATGTACATTTCAGGTGCTAATATGTACCACTAAGGTACCAATATGTAGCCTTTGGATACAAAAGTGTACCTTTTGAAAAGGTACAGCCAGTGACAGCTTTTGTACTTTTTTTTTTCTGAGAGTGCATGTACCTCCTCCTGAATCCTAATAAATCTAAACAAATGATGTCTATAATACCTTGAGAAAGATTGTTAGCAATCCTACATGCTATCTCAATGTTCTTCTTCTGTTGTTTTTTGCATTCTAAAATGCATACATTTAAAATGTATTGAAATATAAATTGGTTATTTAATGATTCTTTTCGAGAAATGTAGCGATTCATTTGAATATTAAAAGTATAATATATTAAAGTAGAAAACTTTTGCTTGGTGTTGATGAGTAACATTCCTAGTGAAAACAAAATATGAACCAAGCTGAAGGACTGTGAATGGTTTTTATATTGTGGGTCAAGTGTGGCTTTAAGGGTCAGTAGTAGCAGTCCCGTGTGCAGGATCACATGTGCTTCTTCTGGCTCTGTCTTTCTATTTTTACATCGTACACCTACTGTATATACTGTATATTCACACTTGAATACAAAACCAATCCCCCCATTCTCCTGCCCAGCCCACGGTGTAGTGTTAAGATGTTAAGCCATTTAGGTAACTCAACTGTAATCAATTTGGCAAAACAAGCTCTGGTTACTGAATGGGGTCAGGTGACGTTGTGTTTTTGGCTGCGGTCATTCCACCTGCCAATGAGAACAGGTTTTACTTCTGACTTATGCTGTACTACTAGCTAGCAAACAAGTGTTAGCCTATTTGTTTAGTTAAAGGAATAGATAGAAGTTATTACTCACCCTCAAGTTGTTCCAACCCCCGTAAGACTTTCTTCGGAACACAGATAAAGATATTTTTGATGAAATCTGAGAGCTGTCTCACTCCTCCATAGGCTTCTATTGTAAATGAAACCTGCCGCCACAGAAAGTTAGTAAAAACATTGTTAAAATAGTCCAAATAGTTTTCTACTATGAGGGCCTCTAATAGTTAGCCTACATTTTAACATAGCGCTGCGCTGTTTCACTACGTGAATTCAGAGGACCACATAGCAGAAAACGAATAGTTGAATAAAGTCGTTATTTTTTGGTGGTGGGGGTGGGGGGTGGGAAGGTTGGGGGTTTGCATACAAAAAGCATTCTCATCGCTTGATAAACTTAACGTTGAGCCACTGTAGTCACTTAACTTTAATAACTTTCTGGACCGGCAGGTTTAAATTACAATAGAAGCCTATGGAGGAGTGATCCAGCGCTCAGATTTCATCAAAAATATCTTAATTTGTGTTTTGAAAATAAACGTAAGTCTTACGGGGTTGAAACAACATGAGGGTGAGTAATTACTGACATAATTTTCATTTTTGGGTGAACTAACCCTTTAATAGGATATTGAACATTGGGGAGTTCAAGTTTACATCCCTACAACAGGTTATGAGAAATTGGCATCATGCATGAAGTAAAGAAAGAAAGAATTAAATACAAAATATGTAATAATAAAAATATAATAAAAAATATTTTAACATTTACATTTATTTGCATACATATATTTTCAAGTTAAACGGTGCATGGGTTACCATATATTCCTGTACTCCTATTTTCCAAAAATAGTATTCAAGCTTTGTTTACCTTGAAAAAGGCTGTGCAGAAGTGTTTGGCACTCTCCTCTTTGATACCTGCTATTCTTAAAGCCATTCTTCTTAGTGTCCTTCCTCATTTAACATGAAGGGTTTGGAGTAGCTTGACCTGGTGGGATTAGCTGGATATATGCTGTGCCTAATGACCCCTCGCTTCTTAAGCACAAGCAGGGTTTGATGGAGGCTTTCATTTCATCTCTTCTCTCTCCCTCTCAGAACCTGATGTTTGTAGATTACTTAACATCAGAACCATTAGCTGACCTAGCTTAGCCTGGTGTTTTCTTTTGCAATCTTTTGGACTAGATTAGAGACATGGTTAATGGAAGACAGGCCAGTGGGTTATGAGTCCGATAAGAAGGGATTGTCGTTGTGCTGCAAACAGCTGGTCGGCTGGTGGTTCTCTTAGGGGATTGTTTGTATGGTTTCTCTAAGCTGGATGACGGCACAAATGTCTGCCCTTGTGGAAGGTCCCGTCCCTTTCCACAACCTACTGACCATGAGAGGAGCTCAGAGGGTAAAGGTTTTTTCCTTGTAAGCATGGTCCAGTTAGCCCCTACTGATAGACATTTGTAACTACACCAACTGGTGTGCTACAAATGCATCTTTCTGCATTCACTGATAAGGTTTGATTTATAGTATACGGTCTGTTGATTTGCTGTCATCTACTTTATGATTAGTTGCGTTTTTCCATCAGTTAATTTTTTGTTCTCTATTGTTTGTGCTAATATGATGATGTTAATGACTCATGCAATCTGTTATGCTCTTACGTGTTATTACATCTGAGTCTGTTCATCATCATGCATAAATTGTTCATTGGAAATTATCCCTTGAACAAATGAACTAATGGTTCAGATGCTTCATATGCTCTCTAAAAGGCTTTGATTTAACTACATGAAGCAGGGCATGTTGAGTGACACATTAGTTCCTGGTGTAAGGGGGAAAGAATGTAAGATGTAATTGAATGATTATCATACCTATGTGGTTAACCTCGCAAACTGCTCTTTAGAGTTAAATTGATTGCAGATCGGAAAAAAATACTCAACGGATTGTTTAACTCTTATTTTGAATCGCCTCACTGATGTTACTTATAAACTGTTTACTTCAATTAAGTGAGTCCAAGTCCCATTTTTGTTAAGAACGGGAAAACAATGAATATATCGTCTTTTTCCTCCTAGGCCCCAGCTTTAGAGGATTCTGGGAGTGAAGCAGGCTGTCTGGAAGATGGAGAGTCTCAGCAGGAGGACCATGGAGAGCAACATCACCATCAGGAATGGTGTGAGCCGGTTCCTGAAGCAGCGCAGGATAAAAAAGAGGAATATTTTGACACAAACTCATGGCGCAGTGACACTTTCTCTAACCCCAATCATGAAACTAAGGATGGCTGCAGGACGTCGCACAGCTATGAGACTGGCTCTTGCTCTGTGGGTAATCTGGTCTCACACTCTCCATTAGTCAAACCCTCTCCTTCAGTCAGAGAGAGAAATCCCTCATTAGCAAAAAGCCACCATGCTGTTTTTGACAGTCACAGTCGGACCACTGAGCAATTGCAAACACAGACTGGAAATACGGAGATGATACACATGTGGGTTGATGGTACTGGAATTTCTGATGCTAAAGGTGGTTCAGATTGTGGGGAGGTTATCAGCAATTCTCCAGCAGGACCTGGACTTGATTCTTCTTCAAGGAATGGCCTATCCTATGTAGTAACATCCCTAGTGGAATTAAAGGACACTGTAGAACCACAAACACTCTGTGAGTCAAGTGCTAAAGACTCATTATTCACCTTAACAGACAGTGATGGAGCCAAGTCTCAATTTACTGACACCTTTGATGAAAAATTCAAATTAGAACAAATCAACAACAATATCATGGACACTCAATCAGGATACAGCGAGCCACACATACAGTTCACAAGTGAGAAAGAGTTACGGCAAAATGATATTGACACTAGTAACACTGAAATAGAGATAATTGGATCCGTTGTGAAAAGTACAGATGCTGAACATAATAAATCAAACACTCAACATGATGAGCTGAATGTTGATGACAATGAGATCAGTTTATCTGTCTCACGGCATCTTTCTAAATATGAGTCTGTATCAGTTGAGGAGCCTATTGAACAGAAAGTTGTGGAGTCAACAGGACACAGCCAATCACACAATTCAATAGAACACACCAATTCACAGGACTCTACAGAAAACATCCAATCACAAGCTTCCATAAAATGCAGCCAATCACAGAATTCAGTAGAACACAGGCAATCACAGGACTTAACAGCGCACAGTCAGTTACAGGATTTTGTCGAATGCAGCCAAACACAGGAATCTGTAGAATGCAGCCAAACACAGGTCTCAGCTGAATACAGCCAATCACAGGACCCAGTAGAATGCTCAGAATCACAGGATTTAATATATCACAACCAATCACAGTACTCAGTAGAATACTCCCAAACACAGGATTCAATAGAACACACCAATTCACAGGACTCGACAGAACACATCCAATCACAAGCTTCCATAAAATGCAGTCAATCACAGAATTCAGTAGAACACAGGCAATCACAGGACTTAACAGAACACAGTCAGTCACAGGATTCTGTCGAATGCAGCCAATCACAGGACCCAGTAGAATGCTCAGAATCACAGGATTCAATAGAACACAAGGACTCAGTAGAACACAGTCAGTCACACACTTCATCAGAACACAGCCAATCACATGATTCTGTTCAGCACAGGAAGTCAATGGATTCTGTAGAATGTAGCCAATCACAGGATTCGATAGAACACAGCCAATCAAATGACTCAGTAGAATACAGTCACACTTCATCAGAACACAGGCAATCACAGGACTCAGTAGAACGCTCCCAATCACAGGATTCAATAGAACACAGCCAATCACAAGAATCAGTAGAGCACAGTCTTTCGCACACTTTATCAGAACACAGCCAATCACATGATTCAATAGAACACAGCCAATCACAGGAATCAGTAGAGCACAGTCTGTCACACACTTCATCAGAACACAGCCAATCACATGATTCTGTTCAACACAGGAAATCACTGGATTCTGTAGAATGTAGCCTATCACAGGATTCGATAGAACACAGCCAATCGCATGACTCAGTAGAAAACAGTCACACTTCATCAGAACACAGGCAATCACAGGACTCAGTAGAGCACAGTCTGTCACACACATCATCAGAACACAGCCAATCACTGGATTCTGTTCAACACAGGAAGTCACTGGATTCTGTAGAATGCAGCCAATCACAGGATTCGATAGAACACAGCCAATCACATGACTCAGTAGAACACAGTCACACTTCATCAGAACACAGGCAATCACAGGAATCAGTAGAGCACAGTCTGTCACACACTTCATCAGAACACAGCCAATCACTGGATTCTGTTCAACACAGGAAATCACTGGATTCTGTAGAATGTAGTCAATCACAGGATTCGATAGAACACAGCCAATCACATGACTTAGAATACAGTCATACTTCATCAGAACACAGGCAATCACAGGACTCAGTAGAATGCTCCCAATCACAGGATTCAATAGAACGCAGCCAATCACAGGAATCAGTAGAGCACAGTCTGTCACACACTTCATCAGAACACAGCCAATCACATGATTCTGTTCAGCACAGGAAATCACTGGATTCTGTAGAATGCAGCCAATCACAGGATTCGATAGAACACAGCCAATCACATGACTCAGTAGAACACAGTCACACTTCATCAGAACACAGGCAATCACAGGACTCAGTAGAATGCTCCCAATCACAGGATTCAATAGAACGCAGCCAATCACAGGAATCAGTAAAACAAAGTCACACTTCATCAGAACACAGCCAATCACAGGATTCTGTACAGCACAGGAAATCACAGGATTCAGAACACAATCAATCACAGAACCCCATGGAGAATAGCCAATCCAATACTTCACTGGAACACAGCCAACTACAGTTTTCAGTGGAAGACAGACTATCACAGGTTGATCTCAGTAAGGCTGGTTTTATTTCAAACACAGTGGCTTATGAAAGGGGACAATTAAAACAGGACTGCATGGACATTTGGATGGACTGTGAAGTCAATCAATCATTGAAAACATCTGGAAGGCATTCATCAAAGGACACTGACAAAGAACTTGATTTAAACTTTGAAAAGAATGAAAGTCTAAATTTCAAAAAGAAGGACTTGACTGACACTCCCGTTGTTTCGGAAAATGAGTGTTTTGGAGCTGAGGGAGCTTTCTCAAATGTGCCTAATGCAACTTCTGCTGAAGCGTCAAATTCACTGCATCAGCATCTGATCAATGACTGGACATCAGAACAGTCAGATCTGCAGGCCATAACTCATTGCATTCACCAAAATTGCCCAGTAATGCACAGTGAAAAAGAAGATTACTCAGTTAGTAGATATATGGACAGTTATTGTGTGCAGGACAGTGGGAAAACATATTCGGAGGACCATGAGCCTGAGGCAGATTTCTACAAAACCCATCAGTGCCCTAATAGTAAAATTAATTTTCTCAAACTGGGTGAATTCACTGAAACACAAGTTTGTGTTAGCGCTAAAGATGGTGAAATTTTACAACGAACACAGGAGGATCGCAACATGCATCACAATATTAAAGGGTACCAGAAAGAATGTACAATAGTTCCCTCTATTGAACAATCAGTAATTTACTCTGACAGTTTGGGATGCATAGAATACTCTAGGCCCAAGTCGTTGAGTGTTGCGTGTCCTGACACGAAGGCAGCTGAGGCTGATGGGTGTCCTGTAGACAGTCCTGTCGAATCTTTGGCTAGTCTGTTTGAGAAATCTCCAGTCAGCCCTACAGATGTTTGCTTTGAGCTCAGTGATGGCCTTCAAATGAACTGTAAACAATTAGCGCATTGCGTTATAGAATATACAGAGACCTCCAAACAATTTCACCGACCCAACACCCTATCTGACAAACAAACAAGGCAAAATGAGTCAGTCGTTGAGATTTTGTCTAGTGAATGTCCCGATCCTTTCACTCCTTTTGATTATTCTCAGCTGAACAGTAGAAACCATGAATACAGCTCTGACACAAATAATAACATTAAAGCCATTACTTTAGCAGATTGTGCCTCAAGTGTACAAATGTCTTTGCCTAGTTCTTTGCAAAAATACAGCAGATCTAGTAATAATGCTGGATGTTTAGTCTCAAAGGGCGGTGATTGCAAAGATAGTGAATCTTTTAGTACCCCGGCTGGTCGGGCTTCCTCCTTCAAAGCACCTGAAATGAATATTGTTATGTACAGCAAAGATAATGTTAAGAAACCTTCAGAATTCAAAGATGTTACACAGAAGCAGCTCTGTGATTGCCATAATGGGAAGGAGTGCCAGCTGCACTCATCTTCAGTGGAGGGAGAGCAGGCAGCGGGAGGATTTCAGTTCAAGGGCACGGACGGCATCAGTCAGAGCAGTACTGGAGTTTTGCAAACCTTGAGTCCCCCAAACACAGATGGTGAGGTTAATTCAGACTCTACAAATTGTGAATTTTCACATACTGTCCATTTGCTTGCAAACAAACATCCAGAGCTTGCCCGAGAGGAAAGCAAATTACCATTGAGTGGCTCTCTCAAGGTCGATGATACTCATGCATTAGAAAACACGGAGAGAAGACTCGAAACATCCACAACAAACTCTCCTGAAATCCCTGATTCATTATGTGAAAAGTCTGATCCTCTTTTTAAGCAGTCTTTGCAACTGCACAACCCTAAGATCGAAGGCGCGTTTGTTACATGTTGTCGAATTTTACCCATCACTAATTTAGAAGCTATTTTGGAGTCGGACCGTTCACTGGAGAGCCTGTTTGTGTTGGAGAATGGACTGGAGGAGGAACAGAAAGGAAGTCCAATATCAGAAGGTGTACTTAATGAGAAATGGAGCTCTTTTGATGGCGTTACAAACCGCCCACATGACAACATTTCTGCCATGCGCACAAAATCCAATGTAGCCGTTGTCATGAATGAACCAGACGCTGGAGAAACAATGAGCTCTTTATCAAATGAGTTTGATAGCAGTGATGGCCATAGTGTTTCCAGTTCTGTGTCACAAGACCTTGACTTCAGTACTAACAGTGAGGAGACGGAGGACAGCACTCAGTCATCGTCTAGTCTTCGTGGTTCTGCGAGGAATAAGAGAACTCAATCAGGGAAGGGCTCTATGTTTTCAGTTTTTTCTCGAATGCCCTCATTCCGCAAGAACAAACGAGAACACAAAGGCAATAACAAGGTTGATCCGGAAGTTAAGGACTCCAATGTGGATGGAGATGAACGGGACGAAGTAAAGTGCAGTAGGTCACTCACACGTAACAGTTCCCCAACTTCGCTGTACAAGACCCATATTTCACAAAGTACAGATCATCTCACAGACATTACAAAGTTTTCTGACCACTCCAATGATGACATTTTTGAAAAGGCTTTTGCTTTTAACTTGCAGTGTAGAGAGAAATATACACAATCCCAAAATTTGAATCACAAAGATGGAGATGCACAGAATTTTAAAGCTTCCCCAAGGACAGAGGGATTGCAACAAAAAAGAAGCAAGAGTACCGATAACTTGAACTTACGCCTGAAGCTCGCAATGGCTCACAAGTCTCTGTCTAGCCTGTTTGAGTCCAGATATCCTGAGAGGGACAACCAGGAACAGATCTTGCAGTCTGAAAATGAGGAGGGGAAAACCAAGCAGTCCTGGAGGAAGATGAAACATTTTAAGGAAGCAGAACTTTACAAAAGAACTCTATCGCTTCCTGGGACGGTCTGTGACAAGTCCACACATCAGAGCCATATTGATTGTGCCTTCTGTGCTCCTCAGAACAGATCCAGACTTAACAGCTCACCAGCTTCCCAAAAGAGTTTAAGGAGCACTTGCCATTTTGACCCACAGAGTTTGGAATCTGCACCTCAGGAACAGGCTGAAGACAGTACGTGTCTGGAAGGAGGTGAGCTACCTTATGCCACTTCCTCAGATTCTGATCAGGCCTCAGTAGATGGCTTTGAGTCCAATGTAGAGGATAGGTCGCAGTCACCTGTAAATCCCAATGTTCTTGCACTCGCAACCCAGATGTCACCCATCTGGACCAGGTCTCTCAGCTGTTTCGAGAACACTGATAGTCCGACAAGGCCCATGAGCCCCAAACCTTCCAGTCCTGTTCTGGGCTGGACACACCGGAGGAGCTTCCGTTACCCCTCGAGATCCGTTGCGTCCTCTCTCTGCTCGCTCGGTCAGGGAGTGAGCACTGACGGCCTCTCCGATCCACCTCAGAGGCCGAGGTCTCTGAAACCAAGGACAGCGCAACTCACTACAACCCAGTCTTTTGATTCTGAATACTTACTAGAGGACAGCAGTTCAGACAGCCATTCTCAGAATAGCCTGAATTCAGCATCCCTGATAAACAAACCAGAGGTAAGTCAAAGTAATTTATGATGTTTCGACAGTTTAAATGTGTCCTTTGAACAAATTATTTGAGTTTCAAAAAGTCTCAAAACTTCAAAAAGTCTCAAAACTCAAAAATTTGAGTTTTCCCAAGACTCTTCTTCACACATGAAATCATAAGTGGATTTTTATGGTGCATTTTTTCAAAATGCATTCCTGCTCTCTGTTAAAGAGGCTGGCCAGCTAGGGAATTATAAGGGTTGTTATGTTTAAGTCACTATACTAAAGAGCCTCTCTGTGATAGTGTGCACTTCTCAAATATACTGCCATCTAGTGGCCTACAAGGAATCAAGGATGATCACATTGCTCGTATGCTGTATCTAGTGCACAATGTAGTGCAGCCTTTCAATAAGTGTAGCCTACACTGCAAAATCCTAAATGAGATTTAAATTATTTTTTCCTTTTGTTATCCTTGAAGCAGCACTTTTCAAGGATGGTTTTTAATAGGTTGTGTCTTGAATATAACTGTATTTTGTCTAATGTGTTGTCAATTTTTTTTCACTTGTATTAGTTTCAAAGTTTGGAACTCAAAGAAAATATAAATTATTACTGTGATGCAAAGCTGAATTATTTGACAACAAAAACAGCATTTATATAAAATATAATTTTTGTTTTAAGTGCTAGTTTCTGTAAAAAAACCAAAAAAAAACGTACTGACACCAAACTTTTGAATGGTAGTAAAAACAAGTGAATAAATCTACCAGTGCAGACAAAATACACAAGAATTAGAAGATACATTCTTTACAACTTATTGATGTTTTAACTGGAGAAGTATACAATTCTTGTTAAGAATAGCAACAATTTGATGCAGTGTAAATATCTTGCTTATGTATACATTGAACTTCTTAACATTTGATAAACTTCATCTCTCAGTGGACATCCATCAAAGACACATGTACAATAACAACCTAAATTTGCACTCAAAGCATGTACAGCAGACTACTGATCCAGCCATCCAGTCAGCAGAGAGAAGACAACAAGGAAATGCATGTGTGCTTCGGGTGAAGTCCAGAGAGCAGGGTACAGCTGCACCCAGACCCATCTCAGACCTCTACGGTTGGACCATGTCTCTTCAGGGCATCAGAGAGGTAGCGCTTGACCTGGAAAGGAAGAACAATTCGACCGCAGCACATCTACGCTCATGCTCATTTGAAACGTTGACTGACGTGGAGAACACCCATAAAAAGAAGCTAAGCATTCAGCGAAGTTTGCGCCAGCTTAGCACCCCAACATCTGAGAAGCACAAGAAAGTAAGGAAATCGTCGAAAATGGAGAACCACCGAGCCGCTGCACTTTATCTTCTCCTGCTCTGCTTTCTTCTTGTACTCCTGGAATCATTCCCATGTAGTTTTCTTTAGGATTTCCGACTTGTCTTCCGTTTCTTGTGTTTTGTCTGAATACACAAAAATCAGTGTTTATAAGATGAGCTCAGACTAGAGTCATTTAATTTTTTTTTAATATTGCATATTAAAACTTGTATTAATAATAGTGAGTGTTATTTTTTTTTCATAATGCGTATGTGTCTTTCTCATCCATAGTTGCACGCTAGACTTTCTCTCACTTCTCCGGAGCAATTCCCCTCTCTTCCCCTCAAAGACCACTTCTTCTCCCAGAGCACACCTGTTGGACTGGACTTTTTGGGCTGGCCGCATTATGCGTTTATTTCAGGTAAGGAACATTGACATTTAAACCTGCTACACATTGCACCACAACCGTTTTATTACGGGACACAGTATATTGACTTCTTAAATCTTCCCTTCAAGTCTGAGTGTCCTTTTAGTTTCCTCCAGGGGGCAATGGTTTCCTTCATTCTGCAACCTTTGAAAACCCTCTGTGAGATATTTATAGTTTTGTTTGTGACAATCGGAGCCCGGAGACTCACGGATGTCTGTGATGTAAATTTATTGTCTTTCATCATCAAACATGGCCTAGTTTGTTTGAGATACCTGGACATAAACCCGAGGAGGTCTTAGCTCAGCTGCAGCCGCAAACAAACAATACATCTGTGAAGAGTGATGAATTCCACCTACAATGTGCAATTCCTTAAGGAGAAGCTTTATTCAGTCGTGTGTGCACGTATCAGGAGCACAGAGGCTATCTTTGTGCGGTAATGCATGGGGCGTGGAGCTCAGAGGCCCCCAGTGCTGATCCTCTCCCTTTCTGCCAAACAATCCTGCTGATTATTTCTCACCCACTCACTGGCGCCAGGCCTTCTCTCACTCTCTCTTTCTCTCTGAGCATAGAGGTAGACCTGGCATGGATTTATAACCCCCACCTTTACAGACACTCACAAATGCACACTTTTAAAAGGAGACTTGGATTTAGGAAATGGAGTTGAGAGTTGAAGGCTGACCTTGAGTTGGCAGTTTTGTTTGCTTGCTGTTGCAAGCATTATGTTTCTATGATCAACATAAAAACCTGACTAAATCTGAGCCAGTTATACATTTAAGTGTGCATTTTTCTCTGGATCTCTGGTCTGAACTGAGACTTCTTGATCTTTGTTTTTACTCTTGTTCTGTTTTATTTATGTAAAATATGCCTCCCACTATTGGTGTCTTATTGCCATGACATGCTCTGTATGTTTTGCAAGGCCTCTGTAAATGCCTTGCCTCATGTAATATGGATTCCTATGAGGAGAAAGACACAATAACCTCATTTTGCTCCTTGCTGACATCATGCCCACTCTACAACCTTTCTGTACTCTGCATGACAAGCCAATGCAGCATTCCTATTGCGGTTTATGCAAATATAGAACTTGAGTCTTAGTTTGTATTTTGAGTTCAGGAGCACTTCATGAGAGAAACTAACACCGATACATGCTGCTCTCCACAGAATCAAATCTCGGCACACCAGCACAAGAGGCACATGGACAGATTGCTCCTCTAGGTGAGTTTACTCCTTCTGAAACACAATATGAGCCTGTACTTTCAAACAATGCCTGCGTGAAATTATTGAAGGGATATTTAAACCTGTTTGTTCGACCTATTTGCATTTATAACTGTTGTTTTTTTTATACACATTTTATTGTGCATTTTTATGAATACTAATATGACCATTAGTTTGTTGTCTAATAGTCCAATTGGGTTTTTTAAGTGTGGGGATGTGTATATATAGTAGGCTCAGTTACTTTTTATTTATAATATGTATGCTATTTTCTTTAAAGGCCTTTTATGCAAAATTCACTTTTACATGGTGTTTGAACATAAATGTGTGTCGGTAGTGTATGTATACAACCTCCCTATAATGGTAAAAATCCACCCACTCCTTTATTTTAATCCCCATAAATCAGAACAAGTTATTTGCAGATTGTAGATTTTGTGAAGTCACACATTCACATATGCATAGACCCCGTCCTCAGTGAGCTGTACACAGTCCGCCATGTTTATCTCCTCGCCAGAGCATTTAACACCAGCATTCAAGTAAGAAATGTATTCTTATTAAAGGGGTGATGAACTGAGAAATCAAATTTTCCTTGAGCTTTTGACATCTAAGAGGTCATCATATTAAAAGAATGTCCTGTAAGTTTCAGAACTGAAAACGTCCTTTCAATAGTTAGTCCAATAAAAGCTTTTATTGACACCAGCCTCAGCAAACGACTCTTTTTTCAAAGTGGGGAACTATGACGTCAAAGAGGATAAAACACCACCCCCGTAGAAGAAGATCAACGCCTAATTCAACATGGCCGGTTTAGCCCCGCCCACCGATTCGCGCATTACACGCATAGCTAAATAACATAGATGCCTACCTTGTGATGACAAAATGGGTCGAGCTACCGAGCAATACAGAATATTGTGCAGTGTCTGGTTGTGGAAGAAGATGCTTCCTCTGGATTCCAATAGGACTGCATGGATAAACTTTATTTTTAATGACGTTCCAGCTGATGAGGTAAAACATTGTCCATCTGTTCGCTGCATTTCAATGAGGATTGTTTTGTAAACAAGACTGGATTTGCAGACCGATTAAGAGTCAAGAACGGTGCTGTGCCGTCTATATTGGATCCGACAGGAATGGTGCAACACACAGTCTCTAGGTCGAACATGTATGGGCGAATCATTCCGGTTGCCATTTGACAACATTGGACGTTTTCAAAACAATTTCCCCCACGTACACCGACGAGGTGAGTTGAAACTCATTATAATATGCAAAACTGTTATCCACTCACAGCAGTGGGCGTTTACTTCCGAGTCTTCAGTGCGAGACGCCCATAAAAACCGAGCGTTTTTCTGCTAGGCTCAAAACTAGGGTATAAAATAGCCTTTTACTTATTCATTTTGAATGTTTTTGGATGCAAAAACCAAGCGAACGTCATAAGTTGACCTCAGACAACAATATAATAAAATTTAAAAAGCCAGTTCATGACCCCTTTAAAGTTACTAAAGTTATTCTCTGTTAGTAATTCATATTAACAGCATATAGCAGTAGGTACTGTATATTACGCTGCTTTCAATTTAATATACACATGCGATTTCTTTACTTGCTGTTCACATAGCCAGCTGTGTTTATGTGAACTTTGTGTGTTTTTGACAACCTTGTGTGAAAGAGAAATTGGGCGCGCTGTCTGATATCCAGCTTTCTGAGTGTGTGCGCTCTAAAAAAAAAACATATATCAGAAGTTTAGACTGATAAGGCTTTAAAACGCATGCCGATAATACATTTTCCTGATGATGAAGAACTGCAATGTCACGTGAGCGTGAGCGGGATAGAAATGATAATCAAAAGCAAACAGATGTTTTGTTAGAGTATCTGTAGCCATACAGGCTCCACCCTCTTCTGGAAAACAGGGTGGGGAGCATCAGCTCTTTGGTATTTAAAGATACATGCACGAAAGCAGTATGTTTTTCCTTTCACTCAAAAACGGGCATTTACAACATGGTACAATAATTGATCTGTGGGTATTTTTGAGCTGAAACTTCATAGAAACATTATATTGTAAAAAAGGGGCAAAATATTTCCTCTCTAATACTGCTACTGCTTCTAATAATAATCATCATCACATTATTATAATTATAACTATTTTTATTTTATTCTGTTTTTCTAAACTTGACCTTTTCCACGGATACACCAGTTTGAAAACCCCTGATCTAAACCAGTGACAGATCAGATCTGTCATATACAGGAATGTGAGGAATGTTCCTCTGAGTTTTATCTTTGTTCGTCCTCCAGCTCCCATGTCATGTAAAGTATAGTCCAGCTGCAAAGGTTCACCCATGTCAAGATTCTTAAGTTTGAGTCTAATGAGAATGGCCTCGAACCACATTCCTTTCTATTCATAGTTTCCAGAGATTCTGAGCATTTCTATGGAAATCAAGTCTTTTTGTATCAAATCAGCGTGCTGTGCAAGCACTCTTTGTTTGTGGTAAATTGCGTACATGTTTGGGCTCGTCATTTATGTGCGATCTCAGCTAATTATGGGTTAAATTCTTAGAAGGTTTGTTTGCAACTCTCGACATCGCTAGTGCTTTCTCCAGGCGCTGTCTTTTGGTTTACCAACAGCTTGGCTTTAACAGCGGAGGAGGGGGGGCTCAAGGGGGGATCGCAGGGGAGGAGGAAGGCGGTTCTTTTCAATGCCAGAGCAGGCGTTTCACATTGAGTCATGCGAGTCGTATGAGTCCTCCTCCCCTCAGACGATCCCCGGTGATGCCAGCCTGTGACTGTATGCGTGTGCGCTCGCGAGAGAGAGAAGGCTGATTGTGTGCCTGGGCGTCTGTGTTGAGCCGTGAGCTCTTTGAGACTGTGCATCCAAGAGTGAAAGTAAAAGAGCAGGAGAGCGACTGAGGAATGACAGAGGAGGGCTGAAGCTACGCCACATCCACGAGGCTCTGAGACTCGATTTTTGGACCAGACACCTGCCTGAAGCGACGCCACCCTTCTTCCTCTCGCCGTGCTTTCACATGCGCACCCAGCACAGTGCCGGTGAGGTGGGCGTCCCGCTGGCAGGAGGTGGCTGCAGTGGTGGCAGCTCAGAGCAGTCACCTGGCTCTGACTCGGGCTTTAGCCCCGCTCTGGGACTGGCCGGAGGGGTTAGAGCAGTGCGAGGGGTCATGTCCCATTACTGGAGTCTGGAGAGCCTTCACTCCACCAACGGTAAGACTCTCTCACATCATGTCATAAGTAGTGTGTGTTTTGCTGGACGTTTTGAGCTTGACGTCACTTGACACTCATGCAGCCTCGCTGAGGTTTTTGTGATGGCTCTTGTTCATTGTATTGCAGTCTTTCGGTCAATGTAATGACATTGTCTTAAGCCCTTGATGGGCGAAAGGAGATAGCTGAAAGCGCCACTGTCTCAATGCAAATGTAAACACATGGCGTAGCTGCTGCTCCTCAAAGCAACAGGAGAGTCTGCCTGCATGTTACATGTACTGAAGAAACATGAGTTCTAGAAATCGAGCTAGATTTATTTGCTGGTGGCCATGTGGGAATCGAGATTAAAGATGATGCCTTACTGTTGAATGAAGATGTGCCACTCTCTTTTCGGCCGTATCCTGCTTTGGTTATTGCATTACTGTCACGGATGTCATCTATTGATCTATGTTGCTGCTGGCTCGTAATTGGTTAAGTGGTAATGTTGTGGAAGGCTCTGTCAAGTGAGCCAATGTGTATTCTAGATTTAGATGGATTGCTTATGACCGAAGTGACGGCGTTACCTGCATTCAGCAGTTGCACATATTCCCTTGCAGGATATTAATGTGCAACATTAGCATTCTTTGAGCTTTTCCACACCTTAATCATGTCACATCAGCGTTCATGTAAAAATATTCAGCTGGATTTTCAGTACAACATGAGAAGCAAGTGAAAGCATTGGCTGTGTTAAAAAGATTTGAGGGGAAACCAACACTGCCCCTTTTGCGTCAGTGAACAGAGCTGATATATTGATCAACGCAAATTCTTCAGGTTTCCTTTCTAAGAATAGAGCAACTCTCTCTTTCTGTGCTGACATTACCGTATACTTTCGTGCGCCAGTGGCCGTGTACTAAGACGAATTATGTGAAATGAGAAGAGATGCCAGCTTGAGCAGTATTTTGGTCTCATTATGTTCTCTCAGGGTTGGCATGGTGACAGACAAGCCAATGACCGCCAGCCTAGGTAGCACCGATGTCTCAAACAGCCACCACTACCCACGTCAGCTGCAATTTGGATGTTTTTCTCGTTTTCTGCTTTGTCCCAAGAGAGATGGGATGTGACTTTTCCTGTGATGGAGGGAAATAAATGGTGCACTGTGAGCCGGGGGCAATAGCTACAGACATTTCAAACAGCGCTGTCACCTCGTCACGGTTCGCTGACCTCATTACAGCACTCATACACTGTCCGTAGCTGATCGCAGAACAGTTGGAGGTAGAAAAAACTGGAGCGACACGTGAGAAACGCTCTGAACTGAAACTTTCATAAGTTTGAGCATTAAAAAATGGTTAATGAGAGTTTGTTTACTAACAAATCCTAATTTCATGGCATCCCTAGACTGAGAGAAATGGTTTGGGTTCAAGCCAGACTGGACCCTAGCAAACAAATGTTCTACACCATCCATTCCCTGAATAGGCTCTATGCACAACTTACTTCCGAATTCTGTAAAACAGGTCTCATCGCTTCCGGTTCTGCTCTTTTGTATGTGCTTCATGATTTTTTTTGCGGTTTTACTCAAGATAACTTAAAGATTAGCATAACCAATATCCCTCACATGTGCAGATTGATATTTAAACGTTTTATATTTTTTTCTTCTTCTTAGTAACCTTTAGATATTTAAATGGAATAAAACGGCAATAACAAAGTGAACTAGGTAGGTTAGCTGATTACCTTAAAAATACATAGATATCGTAGTCAGTTCTTATGGCCGCTCGGCATAAAGAGACTATCTGCCTAGTGTTGGGCATCAATAACTGTTTTTTTAGTGT